ATGTAAAACTTTGGTGTTGTATGACTGCAGTTGTTTGCTAAACAGCATAATGATGTTAAACTGTTGGTAGAAATTATGAAACTGGTGAAGAAGAATGATCTGAACCTGCAGCCTGGAACTGCAGAAATTGTCTTCAGGTACTGATCCAGTATAAACTGTTACAGTGTTACCCAATATCTCTTCCCTCTTTGCTTTTTATTTTTGTTCTGTTGTCTAACTAAATCCCTGGCGAGCCTATTGTTCTTTACCAGCATGACACTTCTATATTTCTGAAATATGAGGATCATAATATCCATGAAATTGTCAATGTTCATTTCTTTTACTGACAATAGACATAATTAATCATGCTTTGAACACTCTTTCTGGGAAGAGGAACCTTTAGGACGGATAGGGGATTTTCTACTACTTTGGAAAAGAAGATTGATAACTATTTGAGTTGGTGAGCTTTTCAAACTTGCTTTCTCCATTCTAATGGTCTATTTGTTAAACTTAACTGTGCTGTGGCTTTCATAGTTTTATACACATTAATACCTTTATTTTGAGGTCAAGACCAATTTCGAGAATTGCACATTACGTTGCATTTTTTTCCAGCTGAATTGCACCCATTGTCACATCATGGAGCGATAAAGACAAAATGACCTGCTCTAGTTCAATAAAAATTTTGAGAACACAATTGAGTAGTAATCTGCTTTTTGAGATCAAGTTGTGTAGTCCTTCCTTAATTTTTGGATACTTCATACTAGGGCCCTAACTTACATCCTAGAGGTTTGTGCCGATAGGATGATAGATACTACAACAACAACAACCCAGTATAATCCCACTAGTGGGGTCTGGGGAGGGTAGTGTGTATGCAAATCTTACCCCTACCCTGGGGTAGAGAGGCTGTTTCCGATAGACCCTCGGCTCCCTCCCTCCAAGAACTCCCACCTTGCTCTTGGGGTGACTCGAACTCACAACCTCTTGGTTGGAAGTGGAGGGTGCTCACCACTAGAGCAACCCACTCTTGTCCGAAGATAGGATGGTAGATACTGTACTTATTTTGAAGAGGCATGTACGCAAAATGCCACTTAGCTATGCTAGTGTTAACATAATAATAGTATCTTAATTCAAGTAACAACAATTATCTTTATTATTATTATGTCTTGGCTGAGCTACAATCTGTTGCTTCCTTATACACTTCATTCTTTCTAAAAAGATCTTTTTACTTGTTGGATTGATTTACTGCAGCATTTGCTCCCAAACTGACAACTGGGACTTGATGTGTAAGTATGGTAAAAGGTTTGTCAAAGCAGGAGTGAAGCTACGAAAGACTTCCTTGGACACTTGGATGGAGTTTGCCTCAAAAATGGGTACTTGCTCTTCCTTTTCTCCTATTTAAAACTTAAAAAGGTTTAGAACATTATGTCAGAATCCTCTCATTTTATGCACGAGTACGGTGGTGGTTGGTGGTTAGTTTATAAAATTGCACCAAGTAATAGGGCGAATTTCTTAGTGGCTTCAGTTATGGGATTATAGTTTCCTGATGAATACTAAAGCTTACTGCTGTGGCTTTGACACTCTGCTGCTACTGCATCTTTGTTTCTCTGAAGGAGACGTGGATGCTTTGTGGAAAATTGAGAAGATACGATCAGAATCCATGAAGGAACATACTCTTGCAAGTGGACTTTCATGTGCTAAGGTAATTCGTTTTCGTAGTTTTGATTTATTTTACATTTCCTTTATCTGCCTCTCTTTCTTGTTTCAGCACAGAAATGAATGACCTAAAAGGGGATCACAATTTGTATCATATATCCAATTGGAGAAGTGTTCAAAACAATGTTTGACGCCTTGATAGAGTAGACTTGTTGACACATCTTTTGGTGCTGTCTTGCATTTAACACCACTGTCACTTACCTGTCGAAAGAACGTGCGTTTGGATTGTTCTTCATAGTTACACCTCCTTTTTCCCATCAGCTTATATTCAATTGAAATAGGCAGTCATAGCTATGTAACGACCCTTACTGATATAAGGGCAAGCTATCATGTTCAAAACATGGTTGATATATAGTGCTAGGCAAGTCTTTCCCCAGAGACCCAGTGTTTTTGACAGTCTTAGATCTGGATAATGGTAAAATGTAGCATCATTCGTATGAAAGCTGATTGGGGAACTCCTTTAACATTGGTTGTAAAATCGACTAGCTGATTGATTTCTATTTCTTGATGATGATTATGAAACTCATGTCTCCTCATCTTTCTAGTTGCTTACAAGCTGAGCTAGTGGACGTACTATTTAACATCTTCTTCTTTCGGCAAATGTATATCCAAGCACTGAAGAGGGACAGATGTGGTCTCACAATTGTTTCCTTTTTTGTCGATATTAACAATTTTTGATTTCGTTTGTAGGCTTTCCTAATTGATCACAAACCTGGAGATGCTGCTGCCGTCATTCAATTACTCAATCAGGTGCCTGCCAGTTTTTGCTTGTTTTGAAGTTTTGGAGTCTTTATTTTATTGTTCTATGGAGAGGGTGTCATCAAGCATGGCATAGCTTGTGCAATGGTTAGGATATTAGGCTGGAACCGGAGCTTTGTAAATAGTCTGCTCTAAGACAACTGGAATTGACTAATGTGCTCAAAATATTGTCCATCGTGTAGGCTACTGACTTCAGCAATTTGATAAATTACTGAAAATTCATTGTCATCCCCCATAATCATGTATACCCCCTCCCCCCTTTCCTTTTTCTTTTTATTTTTGGATAGTTGATCATGTATCCCCCTTGGAATAGTCTTTTTAATATCGGTAACCATCTCAATTATCGGCAGCGTCAAATGTTGGTTTCTTTTTTCTCCCAGTTTGAATAATTATGTTTTGAATTTTCATGAAGTGATTGACTGATATGGCAATCATGTATTCTATACGATCTAGCAGATATTGATTTCTTCAGTGTTCATCCAATCTTATTATTCTGATCTTCCAAATACTGGGTGGATTCTGATCTGTGATTAAAGACTGCTGCTCTTACAATGCTTAGTTCAATGAAGGGATGGGAAAGGGAAGAAAGAGGGTTTAAAATACTTTTGTTATCCTTGTTGAAGGTCTATGGGTCCTTGATTTTGTGCATTCCATCTAATTACACTGTGCTCGATAAACTAATGAAGAAGGTGGACATGCACTTCCATATATGCTTCTCCTCTTTTGCCTCTTTAACTGGACAAGCTAAATGAACTTACTCCTTCCCTTTCTCTTGTCATTCAAATTAGACTTGTGTAACCGTAACCAATGAATGACATAGATTATTATTGAAGATAACATATTATTCTCATGCTCTCGTACTCATCATATGCTGCAATACTTGGCCCTTGTTTCATTTCATGTATAAGTATCCTTTCTGCCGTACGCTTAAATGCTGGATGTTCATTGTAGACACTACCCGGTTCGAGAAGGGAAACTTTCAAGGTTGAACTTCAAAAACTAGTTGCAGACTGGCCTTTGGAGGTGATAAAGCGTCAAAAGGATGAGAAGAGAAAGGTAAGCTGTTTATGCATTTTATTTTGGGCACATATAGGGCCACTGTATTTGATTGTGCTGCTTATTCAATGTTGTCTTTGATGTTACCTTTCCAGGAGTTGGCTGCAATGCTACAACATGATATTCCTGCGATGCTCAGTGCATTGCCAAATATGGGCTTGAACTTGGATATAAATTTGGAAGATCTGACAAGAAAAGGTGTCTTATCTTGAAATTTGGGTGAATAAAACATCGAACTTCATGTTGTCCCTTCACTGTGTATTTTGCATTACGGTGAAGCAGCCATCTCAGTTTACTGCCTTCAGGAATATCTCCACATGTTTCAGTCTTCGCAACTGTGGTGCAAGTGCAACCGTTAGTGGCTTGAAGGTAGCCTCAGAATCCTCACAATTACTATTTAGCTTGAGTGAGGATTCGTATGAATCCGACACATTGAATTACCATTCTCATTAATTGACGTCCGTAATTTCTGCTGAATCATATATTGATGGGGTTTCCAGCTAGTTCAGAGTCCTTTTTTTCCCATTTTAGGTGTTCTTTGATATATATGGGGCTGACACTGCAGAAAGAGATGGTAACTTCTGAAGCAGTCAGAAGTTTTTGTTTGGAATCCTAGATATCTTCACCTTTACATAGTTAATGATCTATTTTGCACTATAAAACATGATTGTCCCTGCAATAAAACTAGAAGTTACTTTTTCAGTGGTATTTTTTTTTCTTTTACTAGACTGGGACTCGTAGGCTAAACCCTTTGTCCATAAATTTTTAAGTTGCTGTTTTGTATGTTAGGCGACTAGCTATGCTATCACTATTGTCTTTTAATAGAATTAGCAAATTGAACATAAACGAATATCGAACATGCTTTTAGATGGAATGCAGCATGTTTGAAATTCGTTATGGTACTTTTAAGTGGTGGCTAAATAGTGTTAATTTTGGATTATTAGGACTTTCAAGTGTTTAAATATGGAAAAATAACACTGTATAGCTTTTGTAAAAATAATAGTCTAAAAAATGTATAAAATTTGTATATTTTTTGTATATATATTTTGTATGTTATATACAAAAATTATACAAGTTTTATACACTTTTTTGGCTACCGGATGTAAATAATTTTTGGCGCCGGCTAAAGATGATAATATCCTTTTAAATATCTTTATACATGCGGTTTGATTCCCAAAAAGAACGAAGAAGGAAAAATCGGAATTCAAATCAAACATTAGTCATGTTTTTTTTTGGACATATTAGCGGTTATTTATATACCCTATATCATTTGATATCACGAGATTCAAACCTGCTTATCCCATATGCACTATTCTGAAACGTCAAAACATTCATCAAACGCCAAGCATGCCATAACACTAGAGATAATATTTTTATTAAGGTATAGTGATCTCGTAACAGAAGGAAGTTAAAATAATTAAACAAATGAAATCACTAACAAATACTAATATACATGAAATTAGTATTTTTTTTCTGTAAGATATATAGTAAAATTTATTTCCCTTCCGTGTCTTTCTATTATTTAGTAACAAATTCGCCTTGTCTCGTTCCTCTTATCCTCTAAAAAGTAAGTGAAAGAGATCTTCACTACTCCCTGTTTACTTTTAGTTGTCTAATTTTGACTGTGCACTTTTTTAAAGAAAAAATAAATAAAGTATATATATATATATTTTATAATCTTATTCATAATAATGATAACATTTCTAAAAGTCTTGAAAAATAATGTGGGGAACAAATAGTTAATTATAAGGGTAAAACGGAAAAAAAAGATTGTCGTCTCTTGATTTAGTATAGTGAACAAATAAAAATAAAAATGTATATTTGATAAAGTAGACAATTAAAAGTAAACGGAGAGAGCACTTCGCTATCGAGCTAGTATGATTGGTATTTGGGTGAAAAATATCTTTTCTAAAAGTGGCTGATTTTTTTCTTGTTTCCTTTTTCTATGTGACGTCTACTAGTGCACCACCAAGAGAAAATGCCAGATTCTTTACGTATTAGAAAATGGTGCTTTTGATAATGTTCTATATATTTATATATATTGCGTGAAGAAAGGAAGTGTTGTTTCGATCTGTCACTTTGATTATTTAATCCCACTACTAAGTGTCTTTCATCGTCAAAAAGTAAATAAAAAAAAAATCCTAAATGTGTGGTTTCTTCGTTAGCAACCATGCAGGCAGTTTTCTTGATTAGTTTTTTGCACTCCAACCATATAGTATGATAATATGAAATTATTAATAATAAGTTTGTTCCTTTTAGGTCTATATCTATGGTTGGTTTATTCATAGTTATGGTCTTACGGGGGACCTACACACAAATGAACTGAGCCGGAGTCAGGATTTCAATCTTATGATTCGGAATTTTATAAATCGCTTTAAGTTACTGAGTTCTAAATTAATAATTTGTATATATTTAATAAATTTTTTAAGACAAATATAGGGTTCGAAACAAAGTTACTGAATTCGGCCGAACGCGCTCTCGACTCTAGCTCCACCCATGCAAATGAATGCTAGCTAGATCGTTATACTAATATATGGGGATTGGTTAATTACTTTTTCTTAGGATTGTGGTGAGATGGATAAATTCCTCCATCCTTAATCAAAAAATTTTCGAGTTCGAGCCTGGAATAGATCATAAAATCATGATAGAAAAGTTTTTCCCTTTAAGTAGCTTTACTGAATACAGATTAATCGAGANCCCCAAAAAAATTGGTTAATTACTTGGTCCTACATTTAGTTTGGCTGACCTAAGAATCGTCTAGAAGGGAGAATTAATCAAACAATAGAAAATGTTGGAGCACCTTTAGTCGTCTTTGTTTTCTAGTATTATTTTTCAATACCCTCTCTTATTAATTTTTTTCCCGAAGTCATGGTCCCTTTCTTTCTACAGAAAAATTCAAACAAAATGACAAAACTACTCCATATACTTGAGTTTTCATTGGATAAACTTTAGATAATGTTGCCTTATTCTCTTCCAAAATGTCCACCACATATTGCTTCTTCAACTTTACTTATATGAATAAGTAATTTAATCCGGTGGCATTAGAATTTGATTTTGTTAAAAATATTATGCAAAAAAAATTAGTTATCAACCTACTGTAATTCTCCTTCTTTATTCAGGTTTACAACAAACAATTGTGTAAGTAAGTTCACACATACGGGGTTACACAACTAACCTTTGTATATATAAAAAATAAATATGAAAAAAATAATTCATTTGACCCAAAAAAAAAAAAAACTAGTGTACAAACTTCCAAACAGATTCCATAACGGAAATGCTGGAATAAAAAATTAACGTCAGCACCTACGCCATCTTTTTTCAACTTTGCGAGCACGCCAACACATTTCCCACCAAAAAACAATAGGCCCCATCGAAGATTCTTCCATAAGATTCTTCTACTTACTCAAAATATCTCTAAAGGATAAAGTTGTAAATATCATCGAGTATTAACCTAATTAATCGCTTATTTAATCGTTTAAATTAAATATAGCTAACAAATATATAATATGTGTATTTCATATACATTATATGTATAATCTTATATAGAGGTGGTCGACTGAGATAAATTGGTTCAAGATGAACTAAAATTTGGGTCATAGTCCAACCCGCCTAACTCTTAGCACACTTTAATTAATATGTATGTTTTCTTATGAAGTGTATAATTACTAAATAATATTTTTTTCTTTTGTGGTCATATATAACATATCAAACAAAAAAAATAAATTATTTCTAAGATATTTTGACAAAATTACTTATGGATCAATTTGGGCTAAAAATCAACCTCGCTTTAAATGGGTTGAGATGAGTTAGGTCAAGATGACATGAGTTTAATAAATGGGCAGGTCAATAACCGGCTCAACTTTGGGCGGGTCGGGCGAGTCATTTGGGCTTTGGCCAAATTTGACAGCCCTAATCGTATATAATCAATATACAGTCAAACCTCTCAATAACAATTTTATTTGTTTCGAATAATTTTTATTGTTATAACAAAGTATTGTTACTGAGAACTAGATTATATTATAACATGAAATTTTAATTCCAAAAAGAACTTAACCATTATAGATAGAGTGTTGTTACAGAGAATATAGTAAAATTTGATTGAATACTCGTTAAAAGAGTAAACATTTATATAATATAATCAATATATGCCGACAAAAAAAATTAAACAATAAATTTGACCCATTATAAAATGTCATGTCTGGGCCTTAAATGGACCCCACTTAAATAGAGGACAAAACCCACCTGAATAAATTCTCCACTATTCGACCAGTCTTACCATACACACACCCAATCCGTATCATTCCCTTCCCCACATTCTCTGAGAGGAGGTTCCAATGTCTCGTTTCACACTCCTACTGGCTCTCGTCGTCGCCGGTGGCCTTTTCGCCGCCGCACTAGCCGGACCGGCAACCTTCGCCGTTGAGAATCCGATCAGGCAAGTCGTTTCCGACGGTTTGCATGAGCTGGAGAACGGAATTCTCCAAGTCGTGGGCCAGAGTCGCCATGCTCTCTCCTTCGTTCGCTTTGCTCACAGGTATGATGATATCTACAAGGAAATGAGATTTTTTATTATTTGCTTATTAGTAGTGGAGTATGTTTTATTTTGAGTTTAAGTTCTATATATGCAGTGAGCATAATTTTTTTTTAACATAGTCAGATATTTATAAATAAATCTCTTAATACGCATTAGGTGGTATTGATGGGGTAAATTTTCCTTTTTACTGTGATATACTCCCTCCGTTTACTTTTTAACTGTCATATTTCGCTTTTGAGGGTCAAACTATCTAAACTTTGACCAACAACACTACAAATTATATTACTTTTGGTATAGTTTTCAAATATCTAAATTTTAATTTTAAAATATTAAAAAAATTTAATCCTATTTAGCTTCAAAGATTAGTCAAATTGATTCTCGAAGTGAAATGTTACAAGTAAAAGTGAATGAGGAGAGTATATAACTTAAATCGTTTTGTTTTTGGGATGTTATTTAAGGTATGGGAAGAGGTATGAGTCAGTTGAGGAGATAAAGCAAAGGTTCGAGGTATTCTTGGACAATTTGAAGATGATTCGATCGCATAACAAGAAAGGACTATCATACAAACTCGGTGTCAATGGTATAATTAATATTATAGCATAACGCTAAAGCCATGCTCTTTTCCTTTTTTGCTTTTTCTCTTTAGCTTAAGTGGAATCTTAATTTGTTGATTTGGAGATAACAAGTTATAGTTTAGTGATTCTTTTATTGGAATACTCTTTGTTTTTCTTCTTCTTCATATGGTAAGACAACCTTTTGGATTAAGATGTAATTATTATTATTGTTATAAGATAAGGTAACTATATTTTCCACTGTAGTATCAGTATGGTATTTGTAGTTTTCATATTTTATTACTAATTAATTGGTCTAGTTGCCTTATCATGTGTGGATATTTCATTCATAGTGTGTGGCTTGTGGGTACCCTTTCTCTCTCAAATCAAAAAACTTTTGTTTTCTTTTTAATTTTTTTTGTTTTAGGTCAATTCAAAAACTTTTCTCATAAAAACTAATCTTGCTTAAAGACCAAAAAAAATCTAAATTGAATTCTTATTTCTTCTCTATTCATTCATTTTTGGACATAAAAACAAAATCATAGTACATGGAAAGAATATAAGCACCTAAGCATTACAACAACAACATACCCAGTATTATCCCACACCGTCGAGTCTGGGGGTAAGTGTGTACGTAGGACTTACCTCTATCTTGTGAGGGTAGAAAGACTGTTTCCAATAGACCATCAGCTAGCACCATATTAATGAAAATAAGCACCTAAGCATTGGACTGCTCAAATGA